ATATTTTCTTAACACCCTGATGACATGTACCAAATATGGGTGAAATCGGTTCACAAGCACGCCTGAAATCTCGATTATCACTTTATCATGCGAGAGTATAAAATGTTCGGTGACACCCGAACTTAGCCCTTCCTTACTTGTTTTCCGTAAGGTTTTCAAGTTCTCAGCCGACTCTTTCAAATTATTGCGCGCCTGTCTAAATACCTTAAACAGGTCAATTTCTGTCGGTCTACATTTTATGCATGACCAGCACAAACCCTTACTATCAAGAATGGAATGTAAGATCCTGCCGTTACATAGCCAGCAAGAGACAAAATGCTCAGACTCACAAACAATTAAAGTAAATTTAAATTGCTTCAATAGTAAAATGTATAAGTGATACTTATCTTAACAAATAACTTAATTCAAATAGTTTCACAATAAAGATTAAATGTATTAAAAAAAAATTTGAAGAGCACGAAATTTTACAGCTGAACACCAGAAGGGTTACCACCTTACTTGCAATAGATAAGTCCATATATTATATTTCCTCCATTTTAAATAAATAGTTATATAAATATTGCCCTTAAGATATGACGTCTCAAAATGGCCGAAATCAAGCATCTGAATATGTGGCTTGAGTGCCTATGGCTGACTTCCGACCGAAATAGCGGTTAGTCTCTAAGATGAGYCAAGAAACTTAGAGAAAGTACTTTTCTGGTATTAAGTGTTTAGTATTTAAAATTGGTTAAATCGCATCCTAAATGGATAAAATCGGGTTATACTAACTGTATCCCTCATATATTAATTCAATATAATATATTTCGCAACATCTTTATTCCATTGCAACATGTAGCTACAGATTATARATTTGTTCACCTAACGGCTGTTTGTATCACCTGAAAATAAGTTAGATACAGAGTTSTATACATATAATAATAAATGATCAGGATGACCAGACGAGTTGAATTTCGATTGACTCTCTGTCTGTCCCCAARRAAATTGCCAATGGTATSTGAGGTACCTTAATGAAACGAATGCGAACATTGAAYTAAAATCTGGGATATAATAGTATGTGATACTCGTATCGGCCATAATAGATAATATCGTTTCAGGGTGATTTTTGTTTGTACATAATCCATTTTCACTATTTGTCATAGAAATTTAAAACATGTATTTTAAAAGTTCTAATATTTTCATTTGCATAACATATTCATTGACAAAGATATTTTATTGTTTTTACAGACCACCACTTCGGAAAATGAGTGAATGGCAATAAAATAGAAATAAGGGATCAGTCTCTGTTAGACAATTTTATATGTGAAATAAACTTGCAGTTGAATTCTAACACTAAAGCATCCAAGTGATAAGATCTACCAGCATTATAAAGGTATCAAAAGAATGCTTATAGGACATATAAAACATTTAAAKCAGTTATTGTGAAAGTGACAGTGCTTCGAGAATGAAAGAAAATGATTTATCACATTGAAAGTTTAAGTAATGGTTGGTAATTGCTAAACGAAACCAAATATCAATGATTTGATGWTATAATTAAAGCTGCATTCTCCTGAGATAACCGCGATGCTTTTGTTAGTACTAATTACTGAATATTTTGGTGAAGATTAGCCGTTCAGCTTCTTGGTAGGAAGACATTAAWAAACTGCCCAAAGGATTTTGAATATATRTATACATACATAGATATGTGTGTTTGTGGGTCATGAATTTTTGATAATTATCTTTAACTGTTTTTTAAACTGTTAATTATATGTTTGTAAATGACATATATACAGACATAATAACAATTATCAGAACTTAGGCCAGCAGTTGGAAGTTTCTTCGGCAAAAATATACTTCAAATCAACAGTTGTGTTTCAATATCAAAACACTAAARCTAAATAGCAGTAAAGGTGCGTTGTCATACGTACTGGTATATCCAATTAAAGTGAGCATCAACATTTCACTCTACATTCGCCCGCCTTGTTCGCAACTGCACGGTCATCACGCACGCACAGCGAATAGGCTTCGTAGCTGTTCTTTAATGGTTTCGGAGGATAATTGGAACAGCGACACAATGTCCGATTCGGACATGCATGACTCAAAGGCAGACGTTTGCGGTGGGGCCTCCAGCAGCAGCGGCAGTTCGATATCCCCTCGCACTCCACCCAATTGTGCACGRTGCCGTAATCATGGGCTCAAAATCACACTAAAAGGACACAAGCGGTATTGTAAGTTCCGATTTTGCACATGTGAAAAATGCCGCTTAACCGCTGATCGTCAGCGCGTGATGGCACTGCAGACTGCTTTGAGACGGGCACAAGCGCAGGACGAGCAAAGGGTTCTGCAGATTCATGAGGTACCGCCAGTGGTACACGGGCCAACGGCATTACTTAATCATCATCACTTGCATCATCATCATCACTTGAATCAAAATCATCATGCYAGTGCTGCAGCTGCAGCAGCAGCTGCTGCGGCACATCATCATATATCGACAGCGATCCGTTCTCCGCCACACGTCGAACATGGCGGCGGTAATGTTAGCAGTAGTGGTAACGGCGGTATAGCCGGTGGAATAGGTTCTGCCATCACCTCTGTACCTGGGTCGGTGCCACCACCCGAACATCACATGACCACAGTGCCCACTCCAGCACAATCGCTAGAAGGTTCTAGTGATACATCTTCGCCATCACCATCGTCCACTTCAGGAGCGGTATTGCCCATATCGGTGGTAGGTCGCAAACCATCTCTGCATCCCAATGGAGTAAATATTCCTTTAGGTAAGTGCTCTAATAATRTATATATTTATGATATACACTACATAATTAATATCAATACAATACACTTTTTTGTTATAGCCATAAAAAGTTTAATATATCGCTTAAAGCTTATAGAAGYATTATAGGCATCTTATTGGGAGGTAATTTTGTTTGAAACCGATAAATGTGAGTTACATACATATATTCGAAACCATTGCAAGTATCATTCGTTATTTTAACTATAGACCAAACCCAATATAATAAAGTTATAAAGTAGATTTTAATCTGAAATGGTCCTTTCATGACGGGACAAAATAATACACTTCAATCAGTTTCAGTGAATTATTACAMAGAAATTGAGGCCAAAATAAGCATTTTATGGAAATGAATAAACGAATCGTTTAATCTTCTTACAAATATATTAACGAAAAAACTAAACGATTATAAAGTCTAGTTATGTAGATTATGTACTAGCAAAGTTATGTACATACATATATKCATATACAATATTACAATATCCATTTCTAAGCAGAGACATTTACTGGCTGCCATACGCCAGAGATATTAAATTATACCGGGATGGTATGAGAAGTCTTTATAGGAGCGTGAAAATTTAACTAAGGGCGTGGCCGCCTACTTTTTGGTGAGAACCCAAATCTCCTGACCTAACCAATCGATTTCTACTGAATTTAGTACGTCGTTTAAAATAACGCCTTTAGTTATTTTTTTTATACTCTCGCAACATTAGACAGAGCAACAGAGAGTATTATAGTTTTGTTCACATAACGGTTGTTTGTAAGTCCTAAAACTAAAAGAGTCAGATATAGAGTTATATATAACAAAGTGATCAGGGTGACGAGTAGAGTTGAAATCCGGATGTCTGTCTGTCCGTCCGTCCGTGCAAGCTGTAACTTGAGTAAAAGTTGAGATATCATGATGAAACTTGGTGCACGTATTTCTTGGCTCCATAAGAAGGTTAAGATCGAAGATGGACAAAATCGGTCCACTGCCACGCCCACAAAATGGCGGAAACCGAAAACCTATAAAATGTCATAACTAAGCCGTAAATAAAGATATTAAAATGACATTTGGCACAAAGGATCGCACTAGGGAGGGGCATATTTGGACGTAATTTTTTTGGAAAAGTGGGCGTGGCCCCGCCCCTACTAACTTTTTTGTACATATCTCGAAAACTACTATAGCTATGTCAACCAAACTGTATAGAGTCGTTTCTTTTAGGCATTTCCATATACAGTTCAAAARTGGAAGAAGTCGGACAATAACCACGCCCACCTCCCATACAAAGGTTATGTCGAAAATCACTAAAAGTGCTTTAACCGACTAACATAAAACGTCAGAAACACTAAATTTTACAGAAGAAACGTCAGAAGGAAGCTGCATCCAGGCTTTTTTTAAAAATTGAAAAAGGGCATGGCGTCGCCGACTTATAGACCATAAAAAATATCTCAGGAAGTACTCTACCGATTTCAATGAAATTCGGTATATAATATTGAACACCCTGATGACATGTACCAAATATGGGTGAAATCGGTTCACAACCACGCCTGAAATCTCGATTATCACTTTATCATTCGCCCTTCCTTATTTGTTCCCTGTTATTTTTGTACTTCATCTAGACATTTAACGCTGAGTCATTCTGAAATCAATTTGCGAGAAACAAGACGCTTGACAGAAATAAGTGCAGTAGCTAAGCTAAACATACACACCGATGTGTAAACGCCATTTTATTAATAACGTAATTTCGATAAGTAATTTTAACGATTTTGTTTGCCCGAAGCCTTTATTTATAATTTTATGACATTATATTATGATGATAAATACTTTAAATTAGTTTATCTTGGCATTTCAACACTGCTTAAATTGATATGCGATCGATACTTGATTATTTGGCGTTGAGAGGTCTTACAGTACACACAAGCATATATACGTAAGCCATAAGTAGGTATTTACGTAACCGGTATAATGTTTTGCAGAACTCGAATGTAGAGTGGACCTCTGCATAAACCCATTCTTACACCTATGCATACGCATCATATATGTATGTATACATTTACCCGAAGATCTGTACGCGCTGTGATGTAGTGCCGATACAAGGAAGCGCTTCCTCGGCAGCAGCACCTGTTTAAGTGTAATTTTTAGCGCTAAGATAGCTGATGTCAACCCAATTAAATTGTTTTCCGAGTTCAAGTTTTTAATTGAAGAATTAATTTTTTGAAAGTAGCCTACATGGAAGGTATAAAAACCATACCTTCCTTATAAATTTCGTTGTGAATAACTCTGCAAATTCCTTATTAATTTTGTACATGTTGAGTTGCTCTTACTATGTCAAATCAAGTAGAACTTACACAGAAAAATATATAAACATACATA